CCCATTGTTGGTTCTAAAAATAGTGGTTAACATGCAGTAAATGTTTTGGTGATGTCCACAGAGTCAGTCACAGTGAAGGACAATGCATAGATTTATTTTGAGCTGAAGATGACTCATTCATCTCTTTGTCCTTACACTGGTGACAAATTGATCATCTGGGTTAAATACAGCCTTTGGGTAAAACGCTGACATATTTTGATCTTAAGGGTTTCTAAAGACATCAAGTAGAATTTAAATGTCCTCTGAGATTTGATATAATTAAAAGACTAAAGGGCCCGGCATACTCCATCAGAAGGCGAACAGTCAACTCGCGGTCGGTCATGTAAAGGGCTGTTCGTTTTCTCGCACACTTTTCGTAGTCCACAAGACACAGAGCTCCTGGGAAACCCGTCCCGCTGCAGTATACGACACCGGATGACTTTCTTCCTATCAGAGTCTCTGTTCCGTCTCTGCGTCCATCATTTTGCTATAAATCTATCGTGATGAAAGCGCTACACTTTTCAGCAGACTCCTCCATGCACCATGTCTGCACGATCTCCATGACTCATTCAGTGTGTCTGTTTAGTTGTACAGCTGAATGTCCGAGCACATTTCCACATTGATGGACGTGCCCACAAACTTCTGACCAGTCACACAATACTTGGCACATATGCCTGTGAGAAAAGGCTCGGCCCGGGCCTTGTGTTGAGAAGGGGCGTATGAAGCTGCTATGAGAAAATGTTTTTGAGATTGTCATCAATTTCGATTTTGCTGCTTCGGATGGAGTATGCAGTCCCTTAAAAGGTTTACACATACACAGAGTCAGATACTGCAATTTTAACACAGGTTTTACTGCATTTCCTTCTTTTATGCTCAGTAACTGATGTGATTTTATCTATTGCGTCCGGCCGTAGGTTAATCATAATTAAATGCTGCAAATATCTGGTTACAGTGAATTCAGGTGAAAGCTTCAGAATGAGGCAATAAGTAAGCCCAGAGTCCATATTGTCTTGTACTTATCATTAGAAACACTTTATTAAGACATAAAAGCTTTACATGCTCATGCTGCTGTATTCATTCATACCATCTACTCACTACAGACTCATGTTCGGGCTGCTGTTTAATACACCATATTATTTTACATTATTAGTGTTTATTGTATATCTTCAATTCAATTCAAAAATACTTTATTAATCCCAGAGGGAAATTATATAATATATATATATATATATATATATATATATATATATATATATATATATTAGGACATTAACAGAGTACTCGAGTAATCTACACATCGATTGCTAGAACATCTATCGAGGTTAAAAATGTAAGGTCGAGCGTCTGTAATGACGTCATGTTATGTGACCACCGTATGACCGTAGGGGGCGGTGTTGCACTGTTGCAGGTCACAGAGTATGGTGTAACACCGCGTGCAATCCACCGAACCAGAACCAGCTTCCTCTTGTTTCACAAACAAAAAGCAAAAAATATTCATCTCTAAACCTAGATGCATTGATCCGATACCAATATCGGTATCGATTATATACATATATATACATATATATATATATAAGTGCTGAATTAACTTAAAACATTTGTTTTGTCAAACGCAGACATGAATTTACTGAATTACAAATTTATTGAAAACTCTGCACCATAACAGCACACAAACACACCAAGAGCTTCACAAGCTTGGTCACATATGTAAAAACAACACAGCTTTAATTTATTCAGTCAATATGCTAGAGCGCGACGCCACTCAGAGCACAAAGCATAGAATTAGAGTGAATAGGTCTGCCCAGTCATGGATCGGTCACGTCACGATACCCGATCCAGAAGTTTATATATATATATATATATATATGTATATATATGTATATAATCGATACCGATATTGGTATCGGATCAATGCATCTCTAAGGTCCCTGAGTACATAATTTTGTTCCACTTCATGTACCACAGGTGATGTGAATGACAATAAAGATACTTGAACTTTACTTACCAGCAAAAGTTTAATATACAGAAGGCAGTGTGGTTTCATAAAACAAGAGGGCAGATTATCTTTTAGTTCCTAGATACGTGTTGACTCACCTTGAAGTTGGTTTTTATTAGTTTTCCATGAACATGGAAACAATAAAAGCTGCTTAAAGCTCCACACACTGGTTTGCACGGTAGCTAGTAATTTTAATATAATGAAATAACAAAATCTCTAAAGAAAAACTTATTGAAAGCTTCTTTTTCTTATCTTAATAAAATATGTGAATTTGCTTTTGCCTCATGATCTCTTAGCAATTTATCACAGGCTTCTAAAAATTGTGGTAAGTCCCAATAATCTCCCAAACCTTACCACAATCAGCACTACCGTTATGAAACATATCTCAAAATGCTCTTTAACAGCTAAAAAAAACCTTTTTCTCCAATGCTGCGGCTGAGTGGTTAGAGTAGTTGTCCTCCAATGCAAGAGTTGGGGGTTCAAATCCATCAGTCACATGCCGAAGTGTCCCTAGGTAAGACACTGAACCCCTCATTGCCTCCGATGTGTGTCCCATGTGATCTAAAAACACTAATTAGTCTCTTTAGAGGAATTTGTTCAATTAGCTTTGTAGAGATCTAAGAGAGTTCTGTATGAATGGATAAATGAGGCACAGATTTTTGTAAAGAACTTTGAGTGTCTTGATAAGATGGAAAGTTGCTATATAAGTACAGTCCATTTACCATTTACCATTTACCATTCATATAGAGAGAAATGTCTGAAAACTAAATGATTGATTTCAGTCAGATCTTAACACTTCAGTTGTTTGTTCCTTATCTCCTGAAGTATAGTCCTTTAACATCAGTGCTGGTGTTTCCTTCTAGAGAAGTGCCGTCTTCATAATGTTTGTTATACACAGGTCACAGGTACTTGCAATATCAAAGAGCTGACACGTTTAAAACATCTATTTATAGAAGCATGTGGGAGAAGAAGCAGCATTTTCCTCCCGGCTGCTCCTGCAACCCTCACAGTCCAGAGTAGGTTTTCTCCACCTTACAGAGGCTTTTGCTTGTCACCATTCTCTCCCTCAGCTTGGCTTCTTTTTGCACTTTGCCACATGTATCCCCCTCACCACGCATATACCTGTACTTCACATTCCTCTGTTTTCGACACGCCACTTTCCCTCCACTTCCCCTCCTTTGACAGTTTTGGCAGCAGCCCACAGAACTGCATGTTTAGTTGAGAGGATGCTGCAGACCTTCAGCCCAGTGATACAGCCTCCATGTTAACCCAGCGTAAGGCTGCAAGCACTCTCACGTTTCCACTCTGAAAGACAACCGAGGTCTCTTGCTTCCTCTCAGTTTCTGGCACATAGCCTGCAGGCGTCTTGTTAATCATGGGAACTGATCCAGGGCTTTGAAAGGCAGAAGATTCACAGCCAAGCTTTTGGTCAATACAAACATCATTCTTGGCCTAAACATGAAAAGCCCTCGACCTGTTTGGTTCTGACATCCATTATCTCATGAGCTATAAAGTATAAAGCTTTTTTTTAATGAGAAGTCCCAATCATCTTGTTGATTAGTCCAACTTTTAATTTATTTTTCAACACTTATTTCATTAAGTTTTCTACATTAATAAAGGCCCCAGCATATACACACGTCAAAATATCAGGCTCAGTTCAGGATGATTTGACCATCGGTGCTGTTAACATTGGACACAACGAGTACAGGATACTTCAATGATACAACCTTACCGGCCAGTCAGCTTGATTAATTTCATTTTTTCCTTTCTAATCCAGCTTGTATACGTAGGTGGAACTGCAGATTTCCAATTTAGCTAAATTATCCTACTGGCAAGTAGGGTTATGAACGCTATTAAGTCCTTTATGGAACACTGGGACGCCATGTCATCCGGACCAGAGAGGACAA